TGTTCCTTCTTAGAACTGCTACAACCTATATTTTGTCTCTTTTCACGAATAATAATGACAATCAGCCCTTATTTAATATCCGGTTTTAGAGTTTTTAGGCTTGTTCCTTCTTAGAACTGCTACAACCTATATTTTGTCTCTTTTTACGAATAATAATGACAATCAGCCCTTATTTAATTTCCGGTTTTAGAGTTTTTAGACTTGTTCCTTCTTAGAATTGCTACAACCTATATTTTGTCTCTTTTTACGAATCATAATGTCAATCAGCCCTTATTTAATTTCCGGTTTTAGAGTTTTTAGACTTGTTCCTTCTTAGAACTGCTACAACCTATATTTTGTCTCTTTTTACGAATAATAATGTGTAACATTCGCCCAAATATCACACAGCGACGGAGCGTAGAAAAAGTACCTATTAACGACTGGCAGGCGTCAGTTACCTTAATTCTACTCGTTTTTCACCGTCTCGACCTTGCCAGTTGATTTTCTGGTCTGTTTAGGGCAAAGTAAAAAGTTACCATTTTTAGGCCATCAGTCAAACGACTTTTGATCAGCTTTCGTTTACATGCGAACACAACCACATAGCTGAGTCTCGGATCCTCAGACTACGTAATTGTCATTAAAAACCCGGCTCGAACAACCTATTTTATTATGTTTTTGTGTGACAGTTCTATATTAAATCCATTGGAGATGGATTGACCCTTTCCCTTTTCTAGCTACTCATGCTCTGAAATATTAAATAATAACGGTGATAATTAAGATCTATGACATTATAGCAGCTATACAGTCAGTCTATACAGTCCCTTCACATAGACAGTCTCTGGGGGACCAAGCCTCCGCTCCCGTAATATTCTTGATATAACACTCTTATCTCTTATAATTCGTGTCCCGGGAGGGTTCCGTGGTACATTTCTTCCCCCACTGAAGCCTCCTTCTCCACAAATATCCGTCGCTAAGGTTCTTATCGTGTGTTATTGCCACGATAAGAGGCTTCGTAATTTTCCTGTCTCTGGTACGACTGTTCTTCACAAAATATGGCGTCGTTCTGATTTCCCGTCTTTTTAAGTCAAAATGACCGTCTTTTTCTTTTTCTCAGAAATGTTCACTCTTCAATCGAAATTTTAAAAATAAAAATTCTAGAACATTCTGACCCTCCTTCGCAACACTTTTTTGTTCATAAGGCCCTTAGTCATTTTTTTTTACGTCGCCGGAAGGTTGTGCTGTGTCATCTGGCAGAATGACATATACTCCCCGGACAAGTCTCCATTAATGTCCCTATTGATCGCATAACACCGGGTTATCGTCAAGTAGTTATCCAGTTTTCTGTAATCAATCTAACAAATCGCATAAGAAAATGAAACTTATCTACTCCACCTCAACTCACTACGTGTTCACAAATGGCATCGTACTACATCTCACTGCCTTTCAACATTTTCACAAAATTTGCACCATGAGGAGTGTCCTAGATAAAATTTCTTTTCTGACTACTTACGTCGTCTTGCCATAAAACTTCTTTTCGCTCTTTGTGATTAAAAAGTGGGACGTGGCACGGCCACACACCCGTTAAGATTAACTTAACTTCACTCACCAAGTATAATCAGTCATCTATGCGGTCCTTTCAATATTAAAACTAAGAAACTCTGTGGCTAGGAAAGTTCTTGAGTTACCCACCCTTCTCGAGCGAGTTTACTCAAACTTACCATGTCGCCACACAGTGAATTTGTGTCTTACACAGGTTAAAAACTTCAGTCGTGAATAAATAGGTAAATATACTCACCTAGTCCTCATATACATACACAAATAGCCATAACTAAAATCAAGAATTTCAACAATTTTAACAATTGCAACATTTTCAAAGTTTGGTCTGACCAAACTAGATCAAAACAAAAAGTTTAACAAGTTCAATAATCAAAACTTGGTTGGTTGGTTTAAATTTTAGCGCACAAATACAATCAAGTTTTCTCTCCTTTTCTTCTCTTCTCTGGTCATCTTCACTCCATCACTTCTCCATCCTGATCTTCGCTGTCTTCCAACACTTTCTCCAGCATGTCCATGGAGTTGCGGGCCGTGCCCCAACTCTCCTGTTCCAACAGCCTCGGTTTGCAGCAAGGTAGCAAGTCCACATTCACCTTCTGCTCCCGGTTCCTGCAAAAGCTGTTGTGAAGACATAGGCTCACGTTTCGTTCTAGGTCAGCTTTTAAGACCTCTTTCTTCTCCTCTTCAGTAACACAAGGCGCTCCAGCTACCCGCTTCACCGCTGTGGTGACCGCGTTTCTGTGCGTCAGGAATGCTCGTTTATAGGCTCCTGGTCATATATCTAGCTGGAAAGATTGATAGGCTTCCGTGTTCCTTGACATGTGACGCTTCGCGCGTTCATACATCCAAGATGTCATCACCGCACGGAACCAAGGCATCAATCTTTGCCTTGACCATATTCTTTCAATGGCTTTAGGTATCCTCAGAACCTTGCAGGTGGTTCTGAAAAGATCCAATTCACGACTCATCTTCACGTTGCTCAGCTGCTCAGGAGTCGGCACGGCCGTCTCCTGCTGACTTGTGTCCGCGTTAGCCTCCAGCCATCTCACTGCTAGCATGGCGCTAACCACCACGATTGACACTTGTTGATTCTGATCGGACAACCCCGTGGAGTACAACGGGCCAAGCCCAAGCAGTGGCAAGGATACTCCCCATGGGTTCTCACTATGTTCCTTCGGGTCCGATACCCTGAGGCTCCCAGAAACGGTTCCACCTCCATCAGAATTCTGTGTAAGTCGTCTTTTTCTTCTATTGTGGGGAATTCAGTGGGTAAGGCTCCACTCGCTTTCTGTTTCTGGAATTCACTCACATTGCCTTCGTTCAGTCTCATGAACTCTTCACCCACAACGTCTTGCAACTCGCTTTCGGATCTCTTCGGGACTGCCCGAAAGATCTTTGCCAACAAATCATGTGACCTTTCCGACATCCTGGCCAACCTCACGCACTTTGGCACAGAGAAAAGTTGGTCAACCAACACTTGTTGCGTCCTCGCATCCATTACCACCATGTGCGTAGGATACTTGCTATTACAGTATGGTGCGGAGCTTGAACCCACCATATATTTTGAACCAGTAGGTCTGTGATAGGCTTCACTATCCTTCAGATTCATTTCATTTTCTAGAGCTTCTCGCCAGCCTCCAATCTTCTGCTCTGTCTGTAACGCTCCAGGGAATATCTCCACGCTGAGGGACGTCACTAGCTCATGGGCACGCTCTAGGCGCTCAAGCGATTCTATCGTACTCGTCATGCTACAAAATCCCAAGGCTGTGATCAAGTTTACGTCTTTCACCCCATGGCAGTCTGCGACCAACTCCATGGCACTCTTATCTGACATGCTCAATCTTCCGTACAATCAGGCCAGTTGTCGATGCTGCTCGCTCAGCGTAATCAGGCAGTGTCCCAAGTTGCAAACATGCCCTTCCATCCTACTTTGTTGAGCCAAGCATGTGCCTTGCTTCAACCAATCGCTCGATGGACTTTCCTCAGGCAGCTCCGTGGATGGATTGCTCTTCCGATTCGTCGACTTCATGGCCAGCAGATGGTGTATCATGGCCAGATCATGTAAACTCGCGTCATCATCTAGGTCTAACGTGATATCCGCCGTCATGTCCCAGATTAAACCGGCATTAGGATGAGGGCACCAAGAAGGCTTCATGAGTTCCCACATCGTCACTAGACTGGTTTTTAAGGGACCGTCCCAAGAACCACAATCAAAACTCACTTGCCCCTTTAGCTCGGGAACCGAGGGTTCGACCACTCGTTCTTCCAAAAGAATTCCCAGCTTGGGTTGTTCCACCATCAGCATTCCAGTTTCTTTAATACGTTCGACCCAGAAATTGAGTACTATGACTTGCTCATAGTCGAAGTATGCTTCCCTAGCTTCTTCATTCACGAAGGGATTATACGCCATCCCCGGTATGCCAGACACATATTGGAACGACTTCAGTTTCCCTAGTGTTGCAAACTCTTTTTGTCCTCTGACCGCTTCAATCAACTCCCGGCTCACTTTCAATTCTTTGTTGGAATATCTTCTCACCTCTTCCAACTTGCGATAGCTTTCCATGTCATTCGACTCCTTGCTTGGCACAGTCAATGGCATGTCCTGGTATAGTTCCAGGAGTGCCCTAAGGAAGTTCCTTTCACAATCAACTCCCTTTTGCCGAATGATCTTTATGCATTCTCCCAAAACAGGAGTGGGGATACGATCCACCACAAACCTGACAAAGCAAAGGGCATCCTTACGCTTAGCCCATGCTATCGCAGAATCGTCTTTCGAAATCAACGCTCGCAGAGCTTCCATCAACTCCAGTTCCTGTTCCCGTGATTTCGAATCATTACTGGCTTCATACTCCGCTTTCCTGATGCCCATCAAGCACCAAGCCAACCGTACTTGCAGATCAGTTCTCACGCAAGGATGAGCCAGGTATGCCGCCACCGTAGCAGGTGCATGCATCGCCTCGTCGAAGTATCTCTGGAGGGCCGCCCTCCAAGAAATCTCTAGCAGTTTTTCCAATCCAATTTCGTTCGCTTCTGATGACATTACCGTGCCATACTCTTTTCGATTGAAGTTAGAGTTCTCCGTAAGCCCTTTCAGGTATTCTTGCATGGCTCGCTTCTCGCTCCAAGCCATCAGGTGCCCTCTCGCGGAGTTCCTCGCTTTCAACATCTCCACATAACCCCCTGCCGGATCTCCCATGTGGACCGATTCCGGCACAGTTATTCGACTGTACTCGACCACGTCGAGTTGTCCTTCCAGTTTCAACTTGGCCATGTTGATTCGCGAGGGCCTATAATCTTCAAGTCCTCCAGATCCACATTGACTGATGATTTCCATTTCTAACTTAGTGTCTGCCAGGGTTCGCGCCGTCTTCTTCGACCTTGTGGCGGTTACGGTCAGACCTGCCAAGAGCATAGGGGGTATCAGGTTTTCTTTTTCTCCCCCTGCTGGTGTCGCACCATCTCCTTGCCCGCTCTCGCCTGACCGACCGGTACTAATCAGAGAGGTCACCACGGTCTTGGCTTTTGACTTCACCACCTTCTGGTTCACGACTCGACTCCCTGACTTTCCTTTCAGTCTCTTCAGCCCTTTTCTGGCTCGTCTAACAAGTAATTTCTTTGTGCCCTGCTGATCATCGGCACTGTCTTCGGTAACTGACTCGGTCACAACATCCGACTCCATGGAGTTCACTATTTTCTCCAGGACCTCACGCATGATGGGTTGATTCAATCCCACCTTCATTATGGATTGTGTCCCATATCGTCGTATCACGTCCCACGATTTTTCCATGAAGTTCACTCGGCTCCAGGTTGCTCCTGTCTTGCCTTCCAGCTCCATTTGATATCTTTCCCATTCCTCTTCTGGTAACGTACTGAGGAACGATATCTTCATCGACTCTTCAATTTTCCTCCTCCTCGGTGATTCATGAAGCAGTTTCTGCGGATCCCTGCTTCGGCACTCTCTAGCCTGGCTTATTGGGTCCATCGGAGATAGATCGGCCGACGCCTCCTTTGTAGGAGACATGAAGGAAGATGGTGCCATCAGCAATAAACTCCCATCGACTTCCCCATCGTCGTCTTCACTGAACCGGTATTCTAGCAAGTCCCTTTCCAACGCTCCTAGATCGGTCTCTCCCGGTTTCTCCGTCTTACTTCCGGTCCCGTCATCGTTATCGTCTTCTTCTTCTAGGCGTTCGGCTCGTTCGAGCCATGCCCTCTCCCCCTGCATCTGTCTGTGTGTTTGGCCATGTTTGTCGCCGACAGTGTCCTGTTGCATTTGCTACATTCCTTCTTTTTTGCTATGTATTTTCTGGGTTTTTCAGCTTCTTGAGGGTTACAGACTTTGACGTGATTTTTGTATGGACCTTCTGTCTTCCATGTTTTCTGGCAACGACTGCACGTGAAAGAGTGCGAGGCTTCGGTGTGCATTCTCTTTATGTGAATCTTTAGTCCCCCTACCGATTTGCAAACCTTTTCACATATGTCACACTGTAAGTTCGTCGGGGGGAGATCGAAATTCCTCTTCTCTAACTTTTCTTCCCCATCATGGCGATTCCCTTGTTGGTACTCCCATTTCTCCAAGTGGTCCATGCGTATCTTGATTCTTCTTTTCCATTCTTTTCGGTCTAAGGCAAATTTAGGGGCTTCGGTCCAGTTGATTCCGGCCTCCTTGAGCAACTTCCTCCAGTAGAAAATGGTTTTCCGTTTGTAACCTGGTCGCTTCTGGATTTCCTCGAGGCTGCCCAGCCACCCTAACACCGCCATTTTAACCGTCCTTGCGTTGCTCATTCTTAATATGTGGCCTATCCGCTCTAATGTACGTTTCTCGATCTTCCATCTCAATGATCTTATGTCGTACATGTTCCGGATGTCCTGCATATTAACCCCCTCAAAATGCATTTGTTTCAGCGGTGGACCCTTTTTATTACTCCAGAGATATCTATACCTTTTATCTATCCACGACTGAATATTATTGATCTCTTGGTTATACCACGGCCGAGTAGCGCAATCGAATAGGAGCCCACTTTCGACACATGCTTGCACCACTTGTGCTTGTTTCTTTCTGGGAAGTTTACTTTTCAGAAGTTGCGAGCGGCATTTTGCCCATAGGTATCCAGCTCGCTTTTTTCTATTCATTAGGTCTTTTTTGGGACCTAGCCAACAACCCAACATGCGTATTTCTTCTGCTTCTTCTGATCCAAATAAAGCCTTTTCTTCTTTGTCTGTGTTGTTCTTTTCCTCAAATTTCTCCATGACTTCTTTGATAATGTTAACGCCCTCTTCCAGCTCTTTTTGCTCGCCGATGATAGTGGTATCATCTGCGAACAAGGATATGGTTATGTTAACAGTTTGCGTCTCGCTGTTTGACTTTTCGATCTTGTTTATATCCGGTATATTGCTGCCTGGTATCCATCGCCATTTTATGCCCGTCTGTCCATGTTTCGCGTCTGATATCTTTTTCCGTTCATTCTCCGCTATGCGCATTACCACTTGGTGATAGATATTGAATAGACATGGCGATGTCGAGCAACCCTCCCTGAGACCCCGTTCTGGGATCCATTCCTCGCTATCTCCCTCCTTCCCTTTCACTTGGTAACTGGTTGCCTCGTGTAAATCTGCTAGGGATTCTAGGAAGGGTCCTTTCATCCCGTAGTTTCGCAGGATTTCCCAAAGAGCTGGTTTGTTCACTCTGGGATACGCTTTACGTAGGTCCAAAAGCCTTGCTTCGGGGTCAGTATGTTCAATTTGAGGCAGGTTCCAGATTGCTCGCCTCTTCTTTAGATCGTCTGCGTCTTCTGTTATTCTGACCAGGATTTGTGTTGCATCCGCAGTCGACCTTCCGGTCCTGAAGCCGCTTTGATTGTCATCTAGAATATTTAGGCGTTCTGTCCACTTTCTTAGTCTTTTGGACAGAATTCTTGCCAGGATCCTGCTGCCCATGGCCAATAGGCAGACTCCTCTATAGTTGTTTACATCATTTTTTCCGCCCTTCTTATGTAGGGGTACTATTTGTCCGTTTTTTAGGATTTCGTCCCATGTCGGGGCGCGGAATAAGAACATCTTTTTAACCATGGCCACTATTGCTGATTTAATATGTGGGCTGGCCAATTTGATGTACTTTATGCGGACATTGTCTTTTCCGGGCGCGGACTCCCTTATTTCACTGATGCAGTCCTGTATTTCCTCATCCGATGGGGTCTCATTTAGCAGGTTATTTTCTTCGATATACTTCTTTTCCGCTCTGTGATCCCCCATACGTGCAACAGTATCCATTAGAAGCTGAGGGCTGATTTCATATCGGTTTTTCGATACTCCTTCGAAGTGGGCTTTGAATTCATCAGTTGTGAGTGTTGTGCCAGTATCCGGTTTCCTATCTCTGCCGCCTAATTGGCGTAGTGTTCGGTACATGGTGCCCATATCTCCTTTGATGTTGGCCTGTTGGCATTCGTCTAGGATTTTATCCCACCATTCACGTTCTAATTCTTTCAGCTTCCCCTTCATTTTAGCCCTTGCTTTCCTAAGGTTGTCCCTATTACGCAGTATATCTTGGAGTGGACGGTCTTGCTCTAAGGATTCGTTTCTATCCCTCACGGCCGAAGCTATGGAATTATGGAGCTGTGACAGCTCATCTTCGTGGCCGATCGTCCACGGATTCGCTATCTGCCTGGTTCTCTTTCCACATACCTTTAATGCAGCTTGCGTTAGCGCTGTCGCTATTTCGCTCCATGAGCTATCCTCGTCCACCTCCTTTGTCTCGGTCTCCTTTTGGAATTTTAGAGCTGTCTGCTCAGTACTCAATTTCTCCCAGTTTATTGCTGGTTTCCGTGCTACTCTTGTTGGTCTGGACCTCTTTGGGATTTTTAGGTGGAGGGATACCGGCTTGTGGTCCGATAGCGTTAGCTCCTCGGTAATTTGTATCCTTTTTGCATGCCTGTGCCTTTCTCCTCGCCTCATTATAAATCCGTCCAGCTCATACCATCTGCGGTGGCTGTGGTTAAACCAAGTTCCCCTTTTCCTAAGGTTAGAGAAAGAGTTTATCCATTGGAGATCGTGCGCTACACACCAATCGAGGAGGTCTCCTCCTGCTTCGGTTGTTGGCGTGGTTAGACCATACCTTCCATTTGTTTCACAGGCTCTCTCCCTTCCAATGTGAGCATTATGGTCCCCTCCAATTATTAATACCTTGGTCTTGGGGGTTCGGGCTACTTCATTTTCTAGGCAGTGTCTATATTCTTCTATTCCTTCGACCCCGTTACTCCAAAGTGGTTGGTAAACTGATATAATTTTCATACCATGTACCTCTATGGCGGTAGTGCGCTCCGAGAAACTTTTCTTTTGGCCTTCGCTGATCCAGGACTTGAGGGCCTCGCCACTGAGAACTATACCGCTACGTTGGGAGTGTATAACAGCTGTTTGTTCACTATCTTCACCTAGCCATATCACTCCTTTCGATTTTGATCGAAGCTCTGATATTAAGATTATTTCCCATCTTTTGCCTTGTGCATACGTAATTACTCTCTTCAGTCGGTTTCTGTTTCTTTCGTGGACTGATAACCCTTGTAGGTTCCATGCAGTTACCGTAACACTCGGCTGTCCCTCGGGGGGAGTGGGTAATCTTCTTTGTTTTCTCTTCTGTCTGCGAGCTTCCCGGTGTTCTTCAGTGGGGCGTCTCATTTTTCCTCTCCTTGTTTTCTCCCCTTTGTCCGAGTCTTTTTGCCGCAGAAGATGTTGCGCGGGGTTTTCGCAACTGTCTATGCCCCTGGTTTCTTCTTCTTCAGGCTCCTGTCCGGGATGGAGGCAGGGACTCTTCGGTTCCTCTCTTTGCGGGAGCTCGTTTGTCAGTGTTGGGCCCTGCGCGGGGTTGTCGCAGGTATTTGTTCCCCTCGGTTCACCCTCTGCTGACTCCTGGTCGAGGTGGGGCCAGGGAGCTTGTTCCCTTGGTACCCTTGTGTCTGTTCCGTTTGCTTCCTTTGGCTCCTGCGCGGGGTTTTCGCAGGGTTTTTCTCCCCTCGTTTCAACCTCGGGAAACTCTCTGTTAGGGTTCGACAGAGCGGAACTGCATTTGGTGCACTCAAATGCATATCTGTTGGCTTTAGCTAGCTGTTGGATCTCTTGCCGGGATAGACCGCTACATCCTTGGTGTATCCATTGTTCGCACCATGTGCATTTCACGCTGTTGCTTGTTACTTTCTTCCTGCATTCTCCGCACAGCGTGGGTCCCGGATTCTTCTCAACGTCTCCGGCCCTCGTTATTAGCTGACCCAGATGGGCTAGTCCCGAGTCAGCGACAAAAAACCCGACACACTCGAACCTGGGGGAGGTTCTGGCCACAATGTTGTTGTAAGAGGTGCTCTGACTGGCTGGGTCTTCGCCACTCTGTTGGTATTCCGGGGGGTTTTGGGTCCTCGCCGTTCCCGGTTTGTTCCCTTCCGTTCCGAAAACCCTGTGTGTTCTTTGCCGCACAGATAACTCGTGCGTTTCCCGCTTGTCCCGCTCGGAGGGCACACACACACAAGCATCGTTATCGTCCTGATCCATCAATTCATCGTCGTCCGCATCAGGTTTTGGCTTGGGTCCCGAGGGTCCTTGTCGTGCGTCTGTGCCCGAATCCGGCCGAGCCGGTACGGCCATGTCTCCTGCGTGATAAAACAATTCATCATCCACCAGGAACTCTACAGACTCCTCGCCATATGGTGCTAGGTCCTCTATCGTTATATATGAGCCCCCTCTGCTCTCCCTTGCCACCTCCAGCATCACTACTTTCGCTTCTCCTGACCACTTCAGTCTCGATAAGTCATCCGCGGGAGAATACACTTCGTTCCACGTTTCAGCCGAGACCTCTGGTCTCCTGGAGGGTAGTGCCTTGATCTTTTTCCTGCTCCAAGCATCAGGGAATGAGAAGTCAAACGTGTGCGCGGCGGCAGCGTTCCAGCTGATGAAGCGCGGCTCCATCCCTTCACTCCACTTCAACATTCTCTTTTCTGCATCACGAGCTGCTCCGATGCGAGGGGCAATGATGGGAGATGTGACTCCCAACAACATCCTCCTTATCGGTGGATATCGAGGGCATTGGTCCGGCAGCGGCCTGGACCCAGGAAGCCATGTTTGCTGATTCTCTTTCGCGTGGGTGTAGGCTCCTGGTAATTGAGGTACTCCCACAGCCTCTCCTGTATCTTTCACCACTGGTCTCAAATTCCAAAGTTTTGGGTTAAACTGGATGTGGGACAGATCCTCACGGCCCATTCGGCACTTGAAGTGGTTGTTGAAGTCCATCAA